ACGTTTACTTTGAAAGCTTGTTTATGGCAAGGATTCATCTATTTATTAAATGTATATCTTTCCGTTAATATCCTAGATATTGAGAATATACAGTTAAGAACATAACAATCCTTGCTGGGTGCAGTGGCCTACACCTGTAATCCCAGCACTTTCAGAGGCTGAGGTGGGAAGACTGCTTGAGCCCAGGAGTTTGAGACCAGCCTGTGTAATATAGTGAGGCTCCCCTGCCTCTATAAAAAGTTAAAAATCAGCCAGGTGTGGTGGCACGTACCTGTTGTTCCAACTACTCGGGAGGCTGAGGTAGGAGGATCCCTTGAGCCCAGGAGGTTGAGGCTGCAGCGAACCGTGATCATGTTCACTGCACTCTAGCCTGGGTGACAGGGTGAGACTCTGTCTCAAGCAAACAAAAAATCCAAACATAGCAATCCTTGGTCAATATTTAGGTAATGGTGGTTACGAACGCCTTCTCAGAATATGTTATGTCTGAGTTTTGAGGAGCCTAACTGTTGGAATGGGAGAAAGAAACTTATCATTTGTGGAACAGCATATGCAAGAAGATAGAATTACGAAATATCACGGCACGTTTGGAAACTCTAGGAAGTTTAATATGGCAGAAATGGGATCAGTTTTCAGAAGAGAGGGGAGAAGCCAAAGGTTGACAATGAGTAAATCAATGATGGTTGAAGAAACATTATGTCATTCTTGGGCTGGGAAAAGATAAGACCAAAAGGATGGTCAGAACATTTGTTACATTTATTTGTATGACTATGAAAAATTCTCATAAATTGACAGCTAACTTTTTAAGTAGCATATTGGAAGACCCAAAAATTCTCTTCCTTTCTCTTCAGGCAAACAGTGAAGGATGTTTCACACAACTCATAAAAACTGAAGTATTTCAGCTGAAACAAAAAGCATATGACATGAAAATAGAAGTGGAAGCCAAGGTCAAAGAGGAGGGAACTGGTTTGTATTATTTTTAAATATTTATTAATGTGATACCCATTTATCAAACTTTCATTTCATGTAAAGCACTTTATAGTTTCTGGAGGTTATGAAAATAACATGGTGCCTGCCTTCAAGGAATTATGCATCTAAACACAGAAATTAAGTGTGTGTATGTGCACACATAGCCACAATAAGATTTCTGCAAGAAATGCAAAATTGAGG